AGAATAACCCTGGCAACCAATAATTATCTGTGCCTTAATCAAACCGGCAACAAATAACCTGGCAACCAATGATTATCTCTACCGTTACCAGCCAAGCAACAAATAACCTAGCAACCAATGATTATCTCTGCCTTAGCTGGACTAGCAGCAAATAATTTAGCAGCCAATGATTATCTCTGCCTTAGCTGGACTAGCAGCAAATAACCTGGCAACCAATGATTATCTCTGCCTTAATCAGGATGGCAACAAATAACCTGGCAACCAATGATTATCTCTGCCTTTAGCAGTGTAGCAACAAATAACCTAGCAACCAATGATTATCTCTGCCGTAATAAGCCAGGCAACAAATAACCTGGCAACCAATGATTATCTCTGCCTTAATCAGGATGGCAACAAATAACCTGGCAACCAATGATTATCTCTGCCTTTAGCAGTGTAGCAACAAATAACCTAGCAACCAATGATTATCTCTGCCGTAATAAGCCAGGCAACAAATAACCTGGCAACCAATGATTATCTCTGCCTTAACCAGTGTAGCAACAAATAACCTAGCAGTCAATGATTACTCTGCAGTAGCTCAGCCAGGCAACAAATAACCCAGCAACCAATGATTATCTCTGCCTTAGCTGGACTAGCAGCAAATAACCTAGCAACCAATGATTATCTCTGCCTTAGCTGGACTAGCAGCAAATAACCTGGCAACCAATGATTATCTCTGCCTTTTTAGGATTGCAACAAATAACCTGGCAACCAATGATTACCTCTGCCTTAACCCATGTAGCAACAAATAACCTAGCAGCCAATGATTATCTTTGCCGTTATCATCCACGCAACAAATAACTTAGCAACCAATGATTATCTCTGCCTTAGCTGGACTGGCAGCAAATAACTTGGCAACCATTGATTATCTATCTCTACCTTAAACAGGATGGCAACAAATAACCTGGCAACCAATGATTATCTTTGCCGTAATCAGCCAGGCAACAAATAACCAAGCAACCAATGATTATCTCTGCCTTAGCTGGACTAGCAGCAAATAACCTGGCAACCAATGATTATCTGCCTTAACCAGTGCTGCAACAAATAACCTAGTAACCAATGATTATGTCTGCAGTAATCAGCCAGGCAACAAATAACCTAGCAACCAATGATTATCTCTGCCTTAGCTCGACTAGCGGCAAATAACCTGGCAACCATTGATTATCTCTGCCTTAACCAGTGTAGCAACAAATAACCAAGCAACTAATGATTATGTCTGCAGTGATTGTTTACAGCAAACAATCCCCCTGTCTAAACCAGTCTGGTAGCAAACAATCTCGTCTGTCTAAACAAGTCTGGCAGCAAACAATCCCCTCGTCTAAACCAGTCTGACAGCAAACAATCTCGTCTGTCTAAACAAGTCTGGTAGCAAACAATCTCGTCTGTGTAAACGAGTCTGGTAGCAAACAATCTTCCCTGTCTAAACAAGTCTGGTAGCAAACAATCTCGTCTGAGTAAACCAGTCTAACAGCAAACAATCTCGTCTTTGTAAACCAGTCTGGTAGCAAACAT